TGAGTCCATGGAGCAATCACCTCTACGTGTGTGGCATGGACTGTCATAGCGTGCTGGTAATGGAACGGTCACAAGCGAAGATCATCACCCGGCTGTCTTCCGAAGAAATGTTGTGCCCCATACAGATAGCGTTCATGAAGAGTCTGGGAGAGATCTATGTTACAGGTGAGAGGTTTTAATAAACTATTTGTAAGAAAAAATGGATTTGTGTTGTAGTAGGATCTTTGTTACGATACTTATGCTCTTCCCACGGTTGCTGTAGTAACCGAAGGAGTGATTAAATATTTAACCAAGACTGAGTAGCAGCGGTTTCTGATAAACCTTAGGTACAAGTTTGCTTTATCTACGTTTAACGAAATCGAAACGAGACCACGTTCGGCACTCTGATTGACTAGTTCATTGGACCCGGCCAATCAGAGCACTGAACGCGCTCTCGATAAACTAACACGTACGTAGCCCCCTGAACATTTTAAACTCCCATCTCCAATTTGAAAAGGAGATCCTTGGTTTTGCTAAAGACTATCACTTGTTGATGATGATCTAATATGGATCACTAGGTGCCAAATTGCACAAAGTATACAAGGAAGAACCTTCATCGCATTGTAATAGTAATCTTTCGTCATTGTCGGTGCCTTTAGAATATTTAATCAATGATATGGTCATCGATAAGTAAAATAAATAGGTAGTTTTATTGATCAAAAAGCGCACGTGTGCGATACGCTGATTTTTATGCCTAGACTAGACATATCTATACGTACCTAATAAATCAACTAGGTGGGAAGTAGGTAGTTTCCCCCAGAGGTAGGAACTTGTTTTGGAATTTCCTTAACAATTGGCGATGGTTGTTCCTTAATCTAACTACGTAATTAGCCAATAAGGCTTCTGTTGAACTATATAGAAGTCGTTAAAAGGTTATGCCCACCTATGTACGACCATATCCGTCACTCACCTTTGACTTGACCACGTAATGACAGAAACGTGATTATGATTTTATACCCAAGATAGGACTACTAAGTAGTAGCTAAGGACATAAAAAGCTTGGTAGGTACCTACTAGATAGAGTTTAAAGTCTAGTAAGTAGGTATTTACCTTCCCAACGCTCCTTTGCCCTAGAATGCAGGGTAAACGTGATAAATCTTTAGATTTCTGCAATCAGTCTTCATCTCGATTTCGAGACACACAACACATTTGTGTTAAGTTTCCGTATACAGACTGACAGCGAATAGACTCTCAAACTCAAACTCAAAAGCATTTATTTCAATTAAACCATAATTTGGTACCTACTTTTGAAACGTCAACAAATATGTCTGTCAGTCTGTCCGTCAGTGAAGCTAGGCGCTCGTTCCAAAATTTCGATTCGAGTGGAGAAGAACGAGCAAGAAACTCCATTCGGTTTTTTTTTAAACGTTGCCCCACACTAGGATTTTCTCCTGTGTCGTGGGTGTGTTTACAAACATACAATATCACATACACATGACACCCAGACCCGGAACAACAATCTGTGGATCACACAAAGAGTTGTTCCGTGCGGGAATCGAACCCGCGACACGTTGCACGGCAGCCAGTTGCCCAGCCACCGCGCTAACCGTGCAGTCACATTCGTTACTCTTTTAAAAAAAAGTTTGTTTTACATTGCTCTGATACATATTCCAATATTGTACACATATGTGAGGATAATGTAAAGACATACCTGACAAAAGTAAAGACATATGTACTCCATGCAGTTTGTGCAGTGACTGAGTAACAGACGTGGGTCTTGTTTCACAACGGTTTGGGCTAATTTGGGCTTGAGCCATGCTTCGGCACGAATGGGCCGGCTCGAGTGATACCACGGCCGAGCAGAAGACCGACGTGAAACAACGCTTGCGTTGTGTTTCATCGTGTGAGTGAAGTTACCGGACGGAGGCTTAATTAGGTGATACGTATAGTCGTTTACCAGCTTATCGAACAAAAACAAATTGATCAAGGTATAAATTGTCTCAGTAGAGAATTTGCAATTTGCATACTAATTTTCATTGGTAATCTGGATGCAGGTCCTTTTAGCCAATGAGTTTATATTATTCAGTAGTGGATGCCTGGTGGCTGATATGACTATAAAAATCTGATGAAGATCAACCTTTACTTAACCACCTCTTCTACCCTTCAGACAAATGGAAGCACTGCGTCCACGTGTTCTCGAAAGACGGTGATTATCTCCGCAGTATTGGGCAAAAGGGCAGCAAGTTGGGCATGTTCCGGTCACCAGAGGGCATTGCCACAGATAATGCCAACCAACACATCTATGTTGCTGACACTGGCAATGATAGGGTTCAGGTGAGCTTGTTCTTCTATCCCTAAAGTTACATACTAAGACTTCAAAAATGGCGTAGTGGCTAGGCAACTGAGCAACGGAGGGGGGTGAGGTGTGGACGGTTCAATTTCAGCACCGTTTTTTTTATATGGCATAAGCCGGTAAACGAGCAGACGGTTCACCTAATGGTAAGCAATCGGTGTCGCCCATAGACACGTGTAACACCAAGGCGTTACAGGTGCGTTTGGGAATTGGGAATGTGAGGATTGTGGAGGATTCGGGGATTGGGGAGGCTGGGCAGGGGTTGGGCCTTCTATAACCTCACTCACACGACGAAACACAACGCAAGCGTTGTTTCACGTCGGTTTACTGTGAGGCTGTGATATCACTCTGGTCGAGCCAGCCCGTTCGTGCCGAAATATGCCGTTTCTTTGTGTGATCCTCAAATTGATTTGACGTGTACCTATTTACAATTATGTGTTTATGTTTACAAAAATATGTTCATACCCTCGACGTATGAATTTGATAAAGTCCTAGTACTTAATTCTAGCTTTTTTGCGGCTTCGATCGCATTCTCGGTATAAAAATCAACTCAATTCTTATTCCAGACAACAATCTATCTCTGTACCAAAAATCCAAATCGGTCCAGCAGTTTTTCATAAAAGAGTATCAAACATACCTTCATACATTCTCTTTCAAATGATTTTGTTAGTAAGATTAGTATACCCTTGTCCTTGAAACTTTTATATGCCCACACACTTGTATAATGTTTATCTACTACCTTATTGGTGCCTACATTTCACTAGGCACATACGTACTAAAACATTCCTTATCAGTGAATTAGCGAAAAACCCAATTGATTAAAAATCTGACCGATTTGAAAACGAAATAAACATTTATATCTGTACTGGCTTTCCCCGCGTGGCTTCGTCCGTGTGGTTATTGCGATTATTAAAAGAAAAAATAGTATGTATCCCTATTTAGGTCACAATCTTTAGATACAAATTATAATAAAAGCGGTCCTTCGCGACGTGAAAGAAAGAAATATACAAACAAATATATACCATACTATCTACTTTTGCGCGGTTTCTATTGAGCGTAGTATGATGTTTTATAGCCTATAACTTACCTCTATGAATGCACTATACAACACAAAAACAATTTTTCAAATCGGACCACTAGTTCCTGAGATTAGCGCATTCAAACAAACAAACGAACTCTTCAGCTTTATATAGTTAGTATAAGATAAGACTTATAATAGATAAGGAAGTAGGGATACCAACTTAATTATAGTTTTTATAATAACTATCGTGAGACATACTAAATTAACTAAAGGCTCACAGAGTAGGCTGCGCGACTTCGCCGCGACCGCGCACGCTGCTCATGAGGAAGAACCCCTCTGTGGTTCGAAGTAGAGCTTTTTTCAGTATATTCACGTGAGCAACCCGCGACTTTTTAGTTAATTAATTATAGTTGTTTTCGAGTCCTTGTTCGTTTATAAAAGCCATCGACGACTGACGATCAATCAAGATCTAGGTGGTACAGACAATACACGTCATTTAGATTAGGTTATCAAGTCAATTGCTTGAAAAACAATTTCTAATCCGTAATCCATTTTAATCCTATATTAATACTGGTATGATTCAAAACAACCAAGGTAGGAATATTCATGCATTAGTTTATTTATTAATTTTCCGTAGGTACTATAAGAGTTTATTGCCCTATGAAGCTATGAATTTACAAATAGCATAAAGTTACACTTTTATCTATTGAAAGTAGACAGGATATATTACGTATAATTATCTGGACTGGGAGGCTGCCTCGATGGCCAAGTGGTCGCAAGTGCGACTACCGGGCAAGGGATCCCGGGTCGATTTCCGGGTCGGGCAAAGTATTACTGGGTTTTAAAAAAAATCTCAGTGGTAACACGGAGTCTGGAAATGTGCCCGGTATATGGCAATAGGCTCATCCCCTAATACATGGGACTCATAATATAAATAGTGAAAAGTGGGTGTTACTTCTGTGTGCACCTCTGCCTACCCCTGCGGGGATAAAAGGCGTGATGTTCCAGACTCCGTGCTACTACTGATTTTTTTAAACTCAGTAATACTTTGCCCGATCCGGTAGTCGCACTTGTGACCATTCGGTCAACGAGGCAGTCGTTGTTACTATGAACGTTGTTCTATCAATAACTAAAGTTCAAATTATCTTAATTGATGTTTAAAACTTCAATTTGTTTAATTTCAGATCCTCCAGCCTGATGGAAAAATCATCGATCAGATCGGCATAGCGACGAAACAGCAGGCCCAATTCTCTTCATCAGTTTGGGAGCAGAAGGAGCTATCGTGCACAGAACTAAACGCACCTACCAGTGTCGCAGTAACCAATGACCGCATCATCGTACTGGACAGTGGAAATGGAAGGATCAAGGTCTATAACAAACAGAACAAGAGCAAAATCATAGAATTTGGGTCTATGGGACAAAGGAAAGGACAATTCAGACATCCAGAAGTACTAACTGTAGACCCTATGGGATACATCCTAGTTGGGGACTCCGGAAACTGCAGGGTCCAGGTTTTCAAGCCCACGGGACAGGTTATAAGGGTTTTCGGGGGCCTAGGCTCTCAAGCCGGCAAGTTTGGCTGGATCTCAGGCATTCACGTCACAAAACAACTAGACATCATCATCAGCGACACGAAAAACCACACAGTTAACTTTTTTTAACAGATGTATTAAAATTATAACAATTCATTTCAATATCGAACATCCTGTATGTCAAAATTAAAATATGATTGAGATAATTATTATTATAGCACTGAGTAAAGTTTACAAATAAAATTATTTTTAGTATAATCTGTCGTTTTACTTTTACATCTTTTTAGTTGCATGTTAATTTAATAATTATTATTATTATAAAAAATAATACGTTATACAAAATTAAATTAGAGATTCTTATGACACGACTAATAATTTGACGAAAATATAATTTTTCTACCTAACTTATAATAAACCACCATTAATTAAGGTGATGAGGATAATTCTAATCAATGAATAATAATAATAACAATTATTCTCTCTTTAAGTTATACTCCAATTAATATGAGATTAACAGAAATGTCAACTACAGTATAATATGTTATTAAGGTATAGTTACTATAATATTTATAGATACATACATTTATAAATACAGCGTTCATTTTAAAATGCACCATAAACCAACATGCATAAGTCCGATATTACAATGGATTTTTAAATCAACCTGTATTAGTACTAAATTGCATAAAGCCAGAAACATGCTCGAAACGCAACCCACGTTGATTGGTCACTTTATTATCGTATCGTGATTGGCTGTTTTATTTGCCAATTAACGAGCGCGTGCGTAGTATGTTTCTAACTTAATTGGACGTCAAATCTACAATTCCATTATACACAGATACACAAGAAATGTAAGTAGATGAATTAAAATATCACTACAATATTCGAAATTTAAAATTTAACGAATATATTGAACTTTCTTAAAGAAAGCAACAGATTTTTACGCCATTTCTATTGGTCATTGGACATTTTAATAAAATATTAACGATTTATAGAGACTATGGTCTTTGTTTAACATTCAATACTTAGGTTATGGCTCAAATCAGTCTCGAGCAGGTGGTTTGATCATTACAATAATTATCTACAATTAATTATTTACAACTTCGAAACTGATTATTAATAAATTTCATAGCACTAAAAGGAAACCAATGATATCAACTTACCTTTAAATTTTAACCTTAATTATAACTTAAAGCCACATTTACATTATCTATAACCAATTAATTACAATTTACATAAAATCGTTATGTATTTGGTGTTCGGTTAAATGAGAGACGTCATCGAACCAATTTCTAATACACACTAGAAACAAAAAAGAAAATAAAAACCATATAAAAATATACCAGACACAAAGTTAAAAAAAAACGTCCGAGAAAATTCCCAAGAGTCGAAAAAAAGATTAAAAAAATAAAAACACCCTTATATGGAATAAAAAATCGAATACTAAAAAGTAAAAATTCCATAAAAGATATCTCTCGTTTACTCAAACACTCTGTATAAGAATATACGAAATGATTTCGTAACTTACTAATCTCTTTAGAAAACTAAAAATAAAAAAGATCTTTCAATAAGATGCCTGGCTACTGAGATACAAGAAAACAATGAGTTTTGAACATTACGTCGTAGTAATAAGAGCTAATTTACTTCGAAATTATTACTAGGCCATTTAATATTGAGGTGAATGAGTTATCTATTCTACATATCGATATACACATAGAAAGAACAGCAAAATATTAGTAGATATGTTGCAAAATTGAGAGAAACATTCTAATGAATATAATTTACTATGATAACTAATATTTAATACATTTTTTATGAAATATAGGGCAATACAGACAGACAGGAAGCGATCAGTGTTGACACAAAATAGGACCTTATTGCATGTTATCACTGTCTTTTAAAATTAAAGAAGTTCTGAACTAAGATAGGTGATACTTAGACATTTTGGTTTTCACCCACCTCTTACAGTATAGGTAGTTTAAGTAACTATTAGTTAATAGATGGTTTAGAGGTGGATGGTGAAAACTGTCATTAGTCTCTCAATACAAAGTCAGGAGGTCACATATTACTTATAAATCCCATGTAATAAGGGGGGAATCTACGGTTGTATCTCCGTATGGTTAAACGGATGCAGTTCTAGACTCTGTGCTAATACATAATTAGAATTTAGAACCGAAAATCCCCATGAGACTTCATTATCAAACCCTTGGTCGGCAACTAGACTAGCAAAAATTGATGAAAGAGGTCTTAAGAGTGACATAAAATATGATCATTGCATTAAAACGCATTCAATGTATTAATTGTTAATCCGTACATTTATCAAAATTAGGATTAACTCATGGTATTTTGGTGATAACTGAAATACGGATAAGGGTAATCCCCTTACGATTCGAGTTCAAAAATAGCAGAGAAGATTTTAAAATGACATTGAATATTGCATTTTATTTTTCGTTAGTTAAGATACTTAATTATACGGCCAGAGATGCTGATAGACATCGAAAATTAAGTCATGTGATTTATTATCATTCGATAAATCTGCATTTTGCAGATTTATTATGATTTCAGAATGATTTGGGCAGATTTACATAATAGGATTACTGGATTACCATATTTTGGTCTTGTCCGATATTTGACATTGTAAATCCATGCTAATTTACATATGAATAGAGTTCATTATTCACTCTGTAGTAAATCCAGTACTGTGTTATTAGACGGTATAGTTAATTATTTATTCAGGTTACGTAAGACTAATTAGGAGACGAGTGGTATAGCTTACAATAGTAAGGGGTTGTATAGTTTTTATATCACTGGTCAATGTAGCACGATACCTACTAAAACAAAAAAAGAGAAACCTATGTTTGTGACAAGAACTTCTAGTTCGAAGCTAAGTAACTGACATGGCAAAATAAAATGGATGTAGTTAGGCAAAAACGTTCCAATTTCAACCCACAAACCATTCTATTCATTTATTCAAATGACAACCAAATTTTTTAGAAACCCATTCTATTCCATAATAGAATGGGTTTCTGAAAAATGTAGTTCCACGTGGAAGGGACCTGAGTTTCTTAAAAACCTTGTCGAAAAGGATAACAATTAAAAAAGAGTTTTCCAGTTTGATTAATTGAAACTCATGGCAACGAAGATCTTAATTGTCGATACAAAGGATCACAATAAGGGTCATTGTACAATAACAGTGAATTGAACTTTAAAATCCCTAAATATTGTTGATATACGATAAACAACCTAAATAAGACTATCAAAAGGAACATTTTCGCATAACTACCTCATTCAACAGTTACCTCACATCTCACGCATCATGCAAGGGCCACGATGAACATTTGGTCTAGGTTATCTACTCGTAGGACTTGCTATAGATCTAGGATGACCTGCAGGGTTGACACCGTGTTACTGAGTGACTTTCGCCAAGGACCACTGCGTCCGAGTCCGCGGGGGGACCCTCACTGTTGTCGTGTTGTCTCTGAAATCATTATTATAAGCATTTAACACATTGTAAAGCTGAATAGCAATTGAAGTCATGTTTTTACTATGTTATAGGGTAAGCGAGTAGACGGATAACCTGATGGTAAGCAATACACGTGGCTAATAGGTACTAAAAACCAGAAGAGTTACAATTTCGCTGCTGCTATTTTAGGGGTAGGGGATTGGGGCAAGACCACGACGTTCCTAAGGTAACCATTGCACTAATTTTTTTATGTTTGATGGGCTGAGCACTTGGTTTGGCCACTATCTCGCCTGGTGGTAAGCGATGGTGCGGTCTACAATGGAGCACGTCGTCCCATAAGCAACCTATTCACTCGGGCTTTGAAGACACCCAGGTTATACCCTTCAGGAAATACAAACTCTGACTCTAACTTTACCTCTTTTTATGGTATAAGTCGGTAAACGAGCAGACAGATCATCTGATGGTAAGCAATCGGCGTCGCCCATGGACACCCGGAACACCAGAGGCGTTACAAGTACGTTATCGACCTTTTGGGGTTTAGGACTTTAAGGATTCAGGGATTGGGGAGATTGAAGAGGGCCTCCGGTAACCTCACTCACATGACGAAATACAACGCAAGCGTTGTTTCACGTCCGTTTTATGTGAAGCCGTGGTATCACTCCGGACGAGCCGGCCCATTCGTGCCCAAGTATGGCTCTCCCACACTTTAGTTTTAATGCTGTTGCTGAGAATTTAACAACCAAATAACTAACAAGCTCATGACTCATCGATGCAAAGCAAATGTGTGCAACCTACGTCTACACACATCGATAAGATACTCATATGTAGAAATAGAAGGCGTCCGTATCAAATCATAATCACCTAAATTTTAATGCAATGTAACCCATAATCAGTCTCACCCACCAGGTGGATTATCGTGCATAAAATTTTAGACTACAGTAACATGACTGATATGAAATAATCGTTATTTATAAATGAGTGTCATTCAACCTTGTATGAACTTTGAAAGATGACACGAGAGTGTAAGTGTGACATGATTAAGACACACACACAACTCCAGCGGGGTAGACAGAAGTGCGCGAGCACACAGACAATGCAAGAGCCACTTGGCTATATTCTCGCTCCGCGGAACCAAGCACGTATTCGCAATCTCGTACATGTCTCTGACATGACGGTTAGTCTAATGTAACATCTTGGTACTGAATACACTGAAGTGGTAGTGGTAGGGTGAGCAGAAGTCCATACAACTTTTAAACTTCATAGGTTATTGTTATATTTAAATTTGATTAGTACATAACTGATAGTCTGACCGGGTACAATTGGGATAATGACGGGGTATGAAAAATAAAAATTTATTTAGTCCGTAAGTTCGGCACTGAAAAAATATTACACACGTATTTTTTATTTTGTTGTATGATTAAATAATACTTAGATAAAACGAATTAAAGTTTAGGAGTGGTGGCTAAAACGTCATTTCTACGTTTAAAATGTTTTTCACGCGAAATTTCAAATCAATATATCGGCGAAAGTATTAGTTTCTGTAAGAAAATAAAAAAATCGTGTCTAATGTTTTAAAATAATCTACTAGACGGACATTAAAATAAAATTTAGGAAACTGCCGTATTGTTATTTTTTTAAAAAAAAAACCGAAATATACTTTGTAAGTTTCCTAGACCCCGGATTATTTGACAAACGAAGCAATCTTCTTTATTCTAGTTACAAGATTGCGTTGCCTTAAAATAATATTATTATTAATTACAATTACTGCGTGTCATTCAACCTTGTGATGCCACAATCGTGCGACAAGTCATTTAAGTCTGTAGGGAGCATACATTGTTAGTGACAGCTATTAAATTCATTAATTAAGTAATAACACGCCTCAGTCGAGTGATGAGGGAGATAATCATGGGCAAGGACATAAGTTCGATGCACGAGTGAGTCAGGTTAATAATTGTTTATTCTGATATGCAAAATCAAACATTTACGCTATAGATTTATGTTCATATTATTATGTCACCATGAGATCTCTTTTCATATGAAACATAATTACATGTTTTTAGGGTCATGCCCATAGCAGCAAACTCATTACCGTAAGTACAAATTTAATTCGCTTATTTATATAATAGGCTCACCCCCAATTACATAGCACTCATAACATAAATATTGTAAAGTGGGTGTTACATTGTACAGTGGCATAATGTACACCTCTGCCTACCCCTTCGGGGATGGGAGGCGTGATGTTATGTTTTGTTTAAATAAAATGGTAAATCGGGACAGAATAAAAAAGCGTAAACACCCAGAGCGTTGCAGACTGTAACCATGTACAAGATTGTAAAATTGCGTCATCAATATTAATTTTAAGCACTCACACCTCTACCTTACATGCCCAGAAAAACACGAAAAATTGCATTATGTAAACAAGATTGCTTAGTACCTAGTTTAAAATGCATTTCAATTAACTCCACAAGTCTATGTAGGTTGTAAGTCAAGCATGACACGTAACAATAGTAGTTTCAGTAGCAAAAAGCATTAAACTACATTGAGACATGAAGGTGTTTCCTAAGTACTGGGCTAACCATCCATGACTGAAATACTGACTGAAGATTAGCTACTTATTAAGTCCTAGATGCTATCCTGCTAGTATTTATCGTTTTTTGTTACACTTATTGAAAAATAAACCCACAGAATGAAAATATAACACACAATATCTTTTTAAACCATAAAAAATTGCCATGGTATCACTCCGGTAAAGCCGGCTCATTCGTGAATATGTAAGCAAAGTCTACATTTTTTTAACTCTAATAAGTCTATAATCAAAATTAATTGGCTTAACTATATTTTTATTAGAAATTATTGTACCTTTAATTCTGTAGCCAAACTGCGGAATGTGTCTTCAACATTAGTGTTGTCCTTCGCAGAGGTCTCCATCACGAACATTATTTCTGGTACGTAACGGCAAAATGACTGAGGCTCATCTGGCTCAACTTCTCGCTGATCAGTCAAATCACATTTGTTACCGATCAGTGACACTATCACATTGGATGATGTGTACCTTCTAACTTCTTCAATCCATTTTTGTAGCGACAAAAATGTTGATCGTTTTGTGATGTCATACACTGAAAGATGCAGAGAAAATACTATTAATATACTAAGTCCACAAAAACAATTATGGTCAGTAGTTAGAAATTATATTAGGTATGTCTGAATTAGCTTCTATTTTTACAGACAAATTGACTTCAGACTATAAGGAAAAAGAGTATTTAGTTGCAAGATAAACTATATTCAAAATATATGAGCATGCTGTGTTGATATTATTGTCTATTAAAAGAGGTAATAAAACCGAAATTATTAGTTTGTTTAATGACTCAGAAAAAAGGTTTTATCCTGTTGATTAGATATTAATAAAGTGTTTACAGCTGCATTATACAACAATATATTTAAAGTAATGTGATAATAAAAAATATAATATTTATTGTGTGTTTTTTTGCTTGTGTGTTCTGATGTTGGAGTTAGACTATTAAATAATTGATCTGATTTTGAAAAGATCTTTTAAAAATGAGATAATTTTATTATTATAAATTAATTATTTAATATCAATACATCGAGGATGATGTGGAGGTCAAAGCTCCATTATTTTAGTGATAACATTGACTTCATGTTAAAGAGTTGTAATTACATGTGACTAATACAGAGTTACCATGAAAATATCGATTATTTAATAACTGCGTACGAAATTAGACTAGTGCGTCTATGTTATTATCTATGCAGATGCGCCCATGTAACTTGCATGACTCATTCTACATACTGCCTAGTCAGTGTTTTAACCAGGAAATATGATATCGTGTGGGCGGACGTCGCATACCTACCAATTATTACACCGTTTGCAGAGCGGTAGTAACTCTGTGTGATAGTTCTGAAGCGCTCCTGCCCCGCAGTGTCCCATATCTGAAGCTAAAAAACAACGCGTTAAATCTCCGATGCACTATTTTACGACGCACTTATTGTTATTAGATTATATATATAGACTAACCTTGACTTTCTTCCCATCCACTATCAATGTTTTCATTGAAAAGTCTACGCCTATTGTATTTCCGTGCCTTTCTATGAAGTTACCAGATTTCAACCGTTGCACAATGCATGTTTTTCCGGTTCCGCAATCACCAATGAGTACTATTTTGAACAAATAGTCAAATTGCTCGTCCGGCACACTCATTAAAGTATTAGGATTGCGGCTGCTCATGATTTAAATTTAATTAAATGCTCAATAAAGCTTTGTGTTTACCTTGTTTACTTGACTTTTAAATTGACAGCCATTTTCTATTTTGACATTTTGTTTTCTTAATTTTCGTTGAATCAATTACGCCTACTAGGCTTTTTACTACAAATGTGTCGCGTCTAGTATAGTCTATGGTAAATTGCCGTTGTATCTATGGTTGCTAACAGAAACGTCAATAGAATGTGTGTCTGTCAGTAGAAGTTTGACAGTAGATAAATAAAAATATCTTCAGGAAAGGTCTGGGTACGGCTGATAGTGTGGGTACCCTCACGTCAGCTATCCGACTGGCCCTTAGCAGGGATGAGTCGTTGGTGGCAGTCTTTCTGGACGTTTCATCGGCTTATGACTCGGTTCTCCTACCCCTTCTCAGGCAGAAACTGCAAGAGCTGAGAATCCCGAGTAGGATTTGCCAAATTATAGGCTGCATCCTTTCCAACCGTACCCTCCAACTAAGGACTCCTGAGGATGACCCAACACAGAGAACGGCCTGGAGAGGTTTACCTCAGGGGTCTGTCCTTAGTCCCATCCTGTATAATATTTATACTCATGACCTCCCTTCCTGTCTAAATTATGATTGTAGAATCCTCCAGTATGCTGACGATATCGCATTAATGGTCACTAGCAGCTCTATAACAGATGCTACCACCTCCATGAATGTCTCTTTGGCCTCATTACACCAATGGCTTCTTAGTCATGGGTTGTCTTTAAGCGCCCCAAAAAGCTCAGCTGTCATCTTCTCACGCAGACGTCGCCTTCCAGATATTCGTATAGAGATAGACGGTCAGCCTATTCCAGTTATGAGGAAGGCTAGGTTCCTAGGCGTCATCCTCGATTCTAGGATGTCGGGGGTAGATCATGTGGACGCTGTGGTTAAAAGGTGCGAGCGGTCAGTATGTGTACTCAGAGCACTAGCTGGGGTATGGTGGGGTGCTCACCCCTACACACTGAAACTCATCTACAATGCATTGGTCAGGAGTGTGATGGACTATTGCTGTTTCCTTATAGCACCATGCAATAAGGAAGCATTTAAAAAATTAGATTCCATCCAGGCCAAATGCCTAAGAATAATTATTGGAGCTATGAAGTCGTCCCCCATAAATGCTCTTCAGGTTGAATGTGCAGAGCCCCCCCTCGACCTTCGAAGACAATACCTGGCAGACCGTTTCGTATCTAAAGTCCTGACCCGCTCTTCTCATCCCCTCCTCCCTATCCTTGAACAAATACACTGTTCCTATGGTTCCTCTCCATATTGGAACAATAAACCTGTCCCACCCGTGATTGTTAGGTATAGGGAGCTTAAAAACCTCTCTGCACCTATCAGTCAACACCCTATTCTCCCGGTTTTTTCTTCCGCATATGAGGTTATCCACTTTAAGCCAAAGCTAGTTCTGAGGTTGGGCATCTCAAAATCATCGGTGGACGCCAGGCGTGATTTTGGACGCGCGTTGAGCAATTACTGGAACGGCTGGAATATGTTTTACACGGATGCATCCAAATTGTCCCGAAACGGATGCACAGGAGTGGCAGCATATTACCAGAATTCAAGAATTGCTCTCCTCTCTAAATGTCCTCCTGAAGCCTCTGTTTTCACTGGGGAATGTATTGGCATTCTGGAGTCCATCAAATTTATCAAATCGCACAACCTCAGTAACTCAGTTATCTTCTCAGATTCTCGAAGTAGCCTACAAGCGCTCGGTCAAGACCAGCTTTACTCCCGAACGCATAGTAGTATAATAATGCAAATAAAAAGTCTGCTTTTCTCCTGTCAAAAAGACGGATTAAATATTGAGATTGCATGGATTCCTGGCCACTCTGGTATATGTGGTAACGAGTGTGCTGACAGATTGGCAAAGTTTGCGGCCGTGAATAACGTTGAACGTCACCACTACATTGTGTATGGGTATGACATACGCGCGGATACCAAACTTAAGCTCTTCGACTCGTGGGCTGCAGTGTGGGTGGA